AGCCCTTCACGTCAGTTTTTTTGTTTCCGTCCATTTCTTTGTGCCGCTTTAGTTCGCTCGGATGGAAGAGGGAAAACTCTGCTAAAATCGCCACCAACTAAGATTTTTTTTCCCTCTCCGATTTCCTTCCCCAACCAAGTAAAATTGATGAAAACTCTACCACGTCAGATTTTTTTCCTTCTCTGCTTTGTTTACAAAAGTTTCCCTTTTTTTTCTATGCGAACCAAACACAAGAAAAATAAATACATTGGTTTCCCACCATTTTTTATGTGCGAACCAAAGCAAAACAATCTATTTCTTGGAAAAGTTTGGAAAACTCAAAACTTGTGTTTTCTTTACATGGAATTGCATTTCCCTATATCAAGGAAACGAACCAAACAGCCCCTTAGAGGAAAAAGCAGGACAATGTGCCCCTACTCATGAAATATATTATTACTATATAGTATTTACTGAAGAGGAGATGTTACAAAAGAATATTTTTAAACTATACAGCATTTAAGATAAGAAAAATCGCATAAATAATAATACATAAAGGGATACAAGTATCATAAGCAAGGGTATAATTAATGTGCAGTATACCCCTTATGGCTTATGCTTAACATAGTAACATAATTTTCCTCATAACAAAATGCATCTCCTCAAACCAGCACCATACATAAAGGGATACAAGTATCCACACCCAAAAAGAAGATGTTGTATATTAGTTACAGACCACAGTTGAAACAAATAACTGCAACCGGTCAGATATCCTAATATAAAGTGTAGTTACGACTCTATAGCATTTGCATCAAACCGAAAAAATTGAGCAACCCATAAACTAGGAGAGAAGTGGAAGAAATCAATTTGCGGTGCATTCAAGGATCCGAAGCCCTAGAAAATCAATAGTACGTCCGCGGTAAAATTAAGTGAGCTCCCTTATTTTACGGTCTGTTAATGAGTAGCAGGCCCACCTTGGCTGAAGTGGGGATGATGCGATCCCACTTTGATGAAGATGTATCAAGAACCCACTTGTGGACCCACGTGTCTCGCCAAAAAGGGCACTTGTGACAAAATCCCTCTTGCGTTTGAGTTATTTCCTAAAAAGGGTCTGTTTGGTTATTCCCTAAAAACCAAGAAATGGAAATAAAAAAAGTGAAAATCTCAAAAAGTACAATTCCATCCATTTTCATCCCTAAAACTCACTCACAACATTCAATAAAATATTATTTTCATCCAACAACAAATCCACAACATCTAATAAAAAAATATTTTCATCCAACAACTCATCCACCACATCTAATAAAATATTATTTTTACCCAACAACTCATCCATCATATCTAATAAAATATTATTTTTATCCACCGCATCACTTAATTCATCTCATCTCATCATTTCAAATCACTCACATCATCCAATAAGATGGTGACAACTCATCTCATCTCATTAATATTTTATTTCCACTCATTTCCTTCTAAAAAAAGCTAGGAAAACGATTTCCTTAAGTGTGGGTCACATCATCCAATAATATAATGACAACTCATCACATCTCATTTATTTTCTTATTTTTAAGAATGAATTAAACAAAAGAAAACAACCTATTACAAGAAATAAGTTTCTTATAATTCATTTCCTTATTTTTTTTCACCAACCAAACAACATCAAAACAATTTTTTTTACTCACATCATCCTATAATAAGGTGACAACTAACATCATCTCATCTCCATTTCTTTGATTTCCTTCTTTTTCATCCTATAATAAGGTGACAACTAACATCATCTCATCTCCATTTCTTTGATTTCCTTCTTTTTTTAGCCAACCAAACATTCCCAAAATCTCCATTTCTTTGATTTCCTTCTTTTTTTAGCCAACCAAACATTCCCAAAATAATTTTTCTTAGAAATATTTTTCCATTTCTTTGATTTCCCTCTTTTTTTAGGCAAACAAACAGCCCCTTAAAACCTTCTTCAACTTTCACTGTTTTCTAAGAAAACAGTATTTTTATGAAATTTACCACTAAAAAGCATATTTTGCAATTCAAGGGTCCGAACTAGAGAACCGGTAATTTGTGACATATATTGAGTATGATATATTTGAAACTCAAGATTACTAATATATATTGAGGATAATGTATTTAATAGTGTTATTAATAATGTGATTATGTACTTTATTTTTGTAAAATATGAAAACTAGTTGAAGATAATTGTAATTTTTTTAATGTTAATTATGTAGTGACACCATTTTTTAGAAATCCTAAATCTACCATTAGCGTTATCGCTATATGGAACAAAACATACTAATTTAGAATATTTCCATTTAAATCATACTTGTGACTATTGTCTCTAATATGGCCGTCCATGTTTAGGTGATTTGAGAATGGGACTAAAATCTCCACTCCCGAAAAATATCCAATAAAGAACTCTCCATAGAAAATAATGTAACTTTGTAGGTCCGTGGATTTTTCATATTGTATTTTAATACAAAATGACAATCAAAGTAGTACAGCACCTTCGGATTTCGATAGCGGAAGGGCTTCAAGTTGATTACATCCACCGAATCCCAATCCTGATAGATTTCTCTTTGGATAAATCATAAGTGTCGCATAACCCCTAAAATTTGGGATCATTTGGAAAAAAAAAAAAAAAAACTTGTTGATAAGACTTAAAAGTTCTATCTGAATTTGGGGAAACTTCCGTTGTAAAATTTGTGGGGAAAGAGGATTAGACGAAACATGAAATCATTAGGGGAAGAGTTTTGTTTATACGATTTAATTGAGAGAGGGGTTATTTTAAAAAAAAAGTGTACTACGATTTGTTAAACATTTCGGAATTCAGAACGACTCTGTGAAAGTCAAAGTTTAGAAGTAATCTTTTTTATAATTTTTATTTAAAGTTGAGGAGGCTTGTTCAAAGCAACCTGAAGTTAAGACGTTTTTTCTTAAAAATTTGTAGTTCACCACTCGCATATACCAGCTTCAATGGCTTACACGCATCATATTTGTAGTCCTGGCATTCTACGAGGAAGTTGCTTTGAACCTAAAAAATCATGGAACAGCCTACACGGCAAATGATGCGTCTTTAACGCTGTCTTTATTATACCTCTAATAAAATAGCTCAACTAATTTATTACCGCTTAGCTCTTCCAAAGGCCCCCACAATATTTTGAGCCCTTCAGATAGAGTGTTGCTACGGGGACCCAAAATATGGGACCAAAGGAGGGGACAGGTGAGGTGTCCCCTCCATTGGTCCCATATTTTGGGTCCTTAAATCATTTTTCAAGATAATAGGGTGGTGTTACATGGATAAAAAATGAACAGTGCATTATGGGACAGAGAGCCGACATATCACCTGTCTTATGTATGATCCTATGTTTTTAGTCCCTAAGACATTTTTTTAGATAATATGTAGGGGGTAAAATTTGGGTATATCACTGTCCCTTACGTGATCAGATTGTTGTGTATTTCAAATATACAAAAGAAAAATGTTTGTTATTTATTTTTAATATTTGGTGTTCTCAATATTTTTCAACCTTTGGTGTTCTTAATATTCTTCAATCTTTGGTGTTCTCAACATGGTTTAACATTTGATGTTCCAACGTGGTTTAACATTTGGTGTTCCCAATGTAGTTTAACCTTTGATATTCCAACATGGTTCATCTATAAATACAGACTTGATCTTCTTAGTTGATAACACTGAAAAACATTTGTGCTTTATCTTCCTTCCTGTCAGAAAAAGATATTTGTTGTTCTTTAAAGAACATGTTATTGGAGTGCACCTTAACCTATTGTCATTGCAACCTTTTGTATCGAAAAGGGGCGAAATCTTTTCTTAAGGATAATGATTACACGCCTCGACAGTTCGCACACATTGTGATTTGTTCACGCCATAAGAAATTTCTCTAACACAGATTAGAACACTTTGTGGGGGGTTTTATTAGAACCCACTCAGCCTCAGGGGAAGAGGCGTTATCAATTATTTATCCTTTTAAAAAAATACAATTGCTACTTACGATTGAATGAGAGTACATATCATAAACTGCCTCCTATTTTATCCATATATCTGGTTCTCATATGTCGCTTGTTCTGATAAACACTTTAAATGAGCCAGAGTTGGCGATGGCTATTTATCCTTTAAGGCTGCGTTTGGTAAAGGGTTAAGGAAGAGGGAATAAGGAGAAGGGTTAACTTAGTTAATCCATTGTGAAGGGTTAAAAATATTCTAATTCCGTTTGGATTTGATAGTTAAGACAATGGGTTAAGTCTTTTGTGTTTGGCAAATGAAGAAGGGATAAGGAGATTAATCTCATTATTTTTTTTAAAAATACCACTTTCGCCCTTACTGAAAATTTATAACTAATTGCCTAATTAATATCTTTTTCGCGTTATTTACCTTCTGAACAATTTCAAAGATTTGAAGCGCTAATATGCAATTCAGATGATGAGACACAAGGGATTAATATTTTTTTTTGAAATAACGTTGAAATTACAATGCAGGAAACCCAAAATCAATCCCCATGCCCAGGAATCACTAGATTCGCTACTACAGTTTGAAACCGAAGCCGAAATACCCAGCATCAGCATCATAGTCAGTCCCTCTAATGCAGAAAAGCCGAAACCTAAAAATACCATGTCCAGAATGCCTCGTATTGTTGCTACAGAACTACCAAAACCTCCAGCAGGAACATAAACGAAGCCCATGAATCAAGGCCCAAAGACGACACCGGTAGGTTCCCAAACTGAATATGCGAGAGCGTAGCAGAACCAACACAAAACACCCAGCAGAAACCGAACCAAAACCCATGAACCAAGGCCCTTAGATGAATATGAAAACTACCAGCAGGTTCCCAAGCTGAGTATGCAAGAGCGGAGCAACCGAAAGCCAAGAAGGAAAACCAGAAAACTAGAGCAGAGGAGCAACCGAAACCACAAAACAGGAACAGAAACATAGGTGAGCACCTTAACTAGTATGCCCCTGCTGCAAAAATGAGTTGTGTTCCAAACTTCCGAACACAGAACATGAAGCCCAAAGTAAAGAGAGCTGACAAACATCGATAATCTCCTGAATGCAACACATGGGTCATCTTCCAAGTGAGCTGACAAACAAATTGGAGCTCCTGAATGCATATTAAAAACAGTACTAAACCACCAAAGCAAATTATAGTAAACTGCTTTTTGCCAATGAAAAGAAAATAAGAAAAATCAAGTGAACAGTACTAAACCACCAAAGCAAATGCATCATGCCCATTGGCATTACGGTTAGATTATAGATCTACAGTAAAAGAAATAATTACCAAATAAGAGTTTGTTATTACTCAAACAAATGCTATTATATAGACTACGTCATAACATTTTTTACCACTATACTTATGATCCAAAGAAATAAAAAGCAACCAGGATCACAGATTTAATGGTTCTGAAATAGCCAATATTAAAAGTACTATACATTTAGATTCAGTCTTATTTTCTCACTCAGTGGGTGTTAACAAAAGCAAAGCATATCATATAGAGATACAGCGACAGATGCAAGCTTCAAAAGTTGGAGCCAAATAACGCATGAACAGAAGCCAACACCTGAGGTTGCCTACAAGCCCTACATAAATAATTTTTTTTAGAAATTTCTCATTTTACAAGCCAAATCTAAAGAGATATGGGGAAACATTAAAAGATACAAAATGCTAATAAAGCACTCATCTTCAATTAAAACAAAAATCTGAGAGCACATTTAACCCATCAAAATAACATAATTTGATTGTCTGACAAAAAAGAACACAATTCGTTAGTCTAACCAAAAGATAGTCACTCTTTGGAACATCAACTTTAACTAAAAGCAAGGAAATATACTAATAAACTAATTATGAGAGCACATTTAACCCATCTACTAGTCTTGACTATTGAGACTTGAACATAAAGCATCAATTTGGATGAAAGTTTTGTTTCTCCTTAAGTAAGCTGACAAATGACCCCATCTCTTGCATGTTGCTGTCGTAAGCTTGTGACATTCGTGATTGACCCTGAGAAGTTTGAGAAAACCCTTGCCAACTTGGTTGATTAAACGACTCACTTTGGAATTGGTGCATTTGAGGTTGTTGATGTTGAAAATTAAAAGTAGGCGAGGGATAACCAGACATTGCATTTTGTAAATCCATTTGTTTCTTGAGCCATGATAATAGCATTTGACCGTTAAGCATATTAACGACATGCATATTCTCCTTCTTTTTAATAGCTTCTGCTCCTGCCACACATAGATCACTAGTTACACCTGATAAATTCATTATCTTATCCATGCATTCTTTCATTTCAGTGGGCACCCTTTTTTTGTAATCTACTAGCTCTTTTGTAATTTTAACTCGCTGCTTTTGAAGCTCAATCATCTTTGACAAATTATTTTCAACTTCAATACCTGATACTCGACGACGAGAAATATTTTTAAACTTACGCTTTAAACCTGATGGTTGAGCGTGACGCTTTATGCTCGGAGTAGAAATAGGTATTGGTTGTGATGGTGGTTGTGTACCATTAAAAGGAACTTGTGTCTCTTCCACTTCTTGTACCTCCTCTGAATCACTGAAATCTATCTCGTTATTATGTGTCCCCTCAGTATCCTCTAATTCGTTATCTGAACTAGTGCTTCCTTCACGCTCATTGAAGTCATCAGTAGTCCCAAACCACCAGCGCCCCTTAGATGTGTTACCTCCACATAGAAAATCCATATCATCAAACTGAGGAAAATGCTTGTTCTTAATTCTTAAATACTCATCATTCTCCTGCGGTAGAAAATTCATAATAAATATATCATAGTTTTAATTATATAACATTCAAATTCGAACCATATGTGTAACTGGAAAGACAGCCCCAAAGCTCGACAACGAGCACCAATTCGAACCAAAAAACCCAACAATCGAGAGCTAAACAAGCTACCAATTCGAACCAAAAAACCCAACAATCGAGAGCTAAACAAGCTCGAATCATATGTGTAACTGGAAAAACAAAGATTAAACATACTTGAAACTTAAAGAATCATATGTGTAACTGGAAAAACAAAGATTAAACATACTTGAAACTTAAAACTTAGAAAGATACTTGAGTCTTTTTTTTAGTCTGATATCAAGAATCATACTTGAACTTTTATCCTTATCTGCAGGGGCAAAAACAAAGATAAATATGGTCATACTTCTATACACTTAAGAACACTCTGTTTACAACCCTGAATTCTAAGCATTTGATTAGAAAGATAAAACTCGAGCTTGTGTCTTTTTCCCTCTAATGCATACAATTGTACCTACTTCTATACAAAACAGAAATGATAAACAACAAAAGGATAAAACAACCAATGCATACAATTGTACTAACTAATCTAAATCTTATGCTAATGCAAAAACTAAGAACTTCTACATAGTCACTTATATACAAATTTTAACTGCATTCAAAGCTAACAAAAATCTAATCCACTATACCATCAACACTCAATCTTTGACCTCAAAACAATTTAACCATGTAAACTGTACATTCAAACTTTATATCATTATTATTGTATATGACAACCTTTGACCTCATAAAGTATTCTGAAGTTGTACGAAATAACAGCCTAGACTTTTCTGCTAGCTACCACTACATTTGAATTTATATTAGAAATTGAAATCTGACACCAACTAAATAGTTACACATGTTTCATTATTGTACTCCAAAATTAAGACTTCTTTTTTGCATTGTCAATCTACATTCGTAAATATATTTGAGAATTGGAAGTAGATATGCATATACATGTAAGTATAAATGATTTTGCTCATGTATGAACATGTCTGATTAAGAATTGGAAGCAGATATGCATATACATGTAAGTATAAATTATTCCATGCTCTTGATGCATTTTTCGGTAACAAATGAATATGAATAACTATAAGATTTGGGCTATGCATTGCAATATTTGTTTTATCTTCCAAGTAGTTGTATTGCCAAGCCATGAAGTTGAATATTTCTCAGTCTTGTTGTGATCCACAGTCAAACATGTAAGTATAAATTATTCCATGCTCCACTGTTTGTAATTTTTAAGATGAAATACTTTATCTCCTTACTTGCAATCAGGTTGCTATAAAAAAGTCTTCCCTTGACATCCATTATCTATATATATTTACCGGTTCTCTATATTTTCCTAAGGAGCTATGGTTTATCATATAATTGTTTTTGGAACCAAAATTATGTGGCATCAAAATTATTTCAACAAATTGACAGTAAAAAACTATTGCAGAGAATGCTTGATTAAAATTAAAAAAAACCACCTTTAACAATAAAGTTTCAGGTTTCTAAGAATTAGAATGATCTGGCATATTTATACATTGAAATTTTTATTTAATTTGGGTAAAGGAGCTGGTTTTGGGAGTCTCTTGCCAATCAACCTATCTTTATGCGACAACCTTTGAACTAAAAAAGTATGTTAAAATTGCACGAAATAACAGCAGTACACAATGCATGTAGGTTTAACAAAACAAAAAAAATCTGTGACAAAAGTTCCCCTAATAGAGAATTTGAAAAAGATACATATATCAAGTTCCTAATAGAAAGAGTATAAAAATTAGATTATTAAATTTTTAAAAACCAAG